AGAGTGGGTTGTGTCTTCAGCTAATAAAGCAGGAATGTGAGCACTTGGGGCAGAGCTGTGGCAAATATGAAGCGTGCCGAGCAGGAATTCAGCCGTGTGGAACCCGGAGCCACTGCTCCCTGCTGCCACAGCCCATTCACACCTCAATGAGAGCTGTTCATTCACTCCAAGAGCTTCCAGATCCATCTGCACACACAGCCATGAGGGAGAGCTGACCAGGCAGACATTCCCAGTGCCACAGGCGCCAGTACAGACCAGCTCCAGCAGTTCAGCAAGTACCACAGATCTAACAGCAAACCCAGGGAGCTTGATGCTCCCTAGACTGCAAAGATATCCCAAAATGGAGCTCTCTCTGTGCTGGCCAGAGAGAGCAGGGAAGAAGCAAGGCAGGACCTGCAGATTCTCCCCCGTCAGGTATCTCAGGCACAGCAGGTCAGTGCAAGGCCCAAAAGCAGATCCTTGACTAACCCTGGGTAACCTGGAGCAGGAAGCAGGAACCTGGCAGATGCTGTGTTCAAGTGCCATATCTGGCCCCAGGCTGGGATCCTGGAATGGAGGTTATTCCATACTGCTGCTCTGTAAGCCAGCCTGGCAGGTTTCTGTGGCTGCCATGAGCACACAGAGCATTTGCTGCCCCATTTCTGCTCAGCAGGCTGGTCCTGACCTGCCATTTGGCACAGAGCAGCTCCCACTATGCTGGCAGGTTCCTATAAACAGTGTGTGCACTGCTAGATAATGTATAGATAACGTAGAGATTATATAAGGAACTGGCAAGTTCCAGAAGTAACCACCAGGACTTCCCTTAGGTTGCTGTAATGGATGTGGAGGCTGGGGAGGTCAGCAGTGTGATTCAGGGAATGGAGGAGAGGTCCTTGGTATGGCACTGGCAGGGAGAGCAAATCCAATGCCTCTCATTCCTCAGAGACTGCTCTGTACTTGTCCATACATCCCCCTGTCTTCTGCTGTGCTTTCTGCCCAGAAACAGCTGTAAACAAATGTGGGGAGGGACAGGGAGGATCAGGTAGGATCCTGTGTGGTAAAACTAATTAATCAAAGAAGGATGTGCCTGGAGGGGAGGAAGAGGCCACTGGCAGGTTGTCCTGGGGGTGCTGTGCCCCTCTGGCTTGACAGAGTCTGTGCATGGAGAAAGACAAGCCTGCTCCTGCCCTCCTTGGCACTGCTCAGCATTCCCAGAGACCTTAACCAATTATTCCAGCTGTAAGCTGGGCCCACGGGCAGTTTATCCCGCTAGTTGATCTCCTGTGCTCACTGAATGTTCACAGCCACATCCCAGCTCCCTGCTAAATAAGGTTTTGCATGGAAATGGGGAGGGAACTTGGCACTAAAGATGTGCTTTGGCTTCCTGGACCAAGCTGATAACCCCAGCCCTCCAGGATGTGCATCGATCCTGCTTTTTTTCCTGATTTATTACTCTCTTTCATCCTTTCCACTCCTTAACATAAAGCCAAACAGGACTCTTTCCCTGCCTGCCAAGATTTTAGTATCATTACTGGGATTTCAGCCTAGCACTGTTTTGAGCCCTCAGGTACCACCTTGTACCTCTGCAGTGGTCTCAGCTCTTCCCATTTCCTCACTGGTGCCAGTGGGAAACACCATTCCCACAGAACTGTTTAACTGTAAGATACCAGTGGTAGATAACATTTGTTGCCATTTTGCCCACTCCTCTGGGTGTGAGGCAAGATTAAAGCTACCTGGTTAGTAGAGAATTGAAGTGAATTCTGTTAAAGAACCATTTATAGGGTTTTTTTTCCCCTCAAAGGATTGTCTTAGGGATCACTGATCCAGACCCTGAGAGGCAAGAGATGAGACAATTTGCCAGAGGTTGTGCATGTTATCCCACATGTTATCCATGCTCAAGGCACTCAGGGCTTTCTGGATTCCCCATCCCATACATACAGCAAGTGTCTGGGATCAGCACAACTGCTCTTCAGGCCACAGGGGATCCCACCAGCACCTGCCAGCATACCCATGCTACGAGTTGGGTTTTTTCCTTGCCAGACACAAAAAGGACAGGGCAAAGCTCTATTGTTTTCCCATCTCTTTGGCTCTCTTGGCAGACAAAAGGGGAAAAGGACAGTGGTCACTGCGGGTTCATGCCAGCTTTATCACCTCTGGATGTTTGCTGTACCGGTGCCACAGCCCTGGAGCTCTCCCTGCCCTTTGCCTGTGTTATATCCAGAGTCCTTCACTGCCACAGACTCTGAAGGTCATAGCAGGAGATAAACAGAGGTGCAGATGGGTGTTTGAGCTAATTTGGGGAAATCATCACTATATTTCTGCAATGCTCATCTATCACATAGGGATTATGCAAATTCTCCACATCCTGGGGCCAGGTTAGGGGTCAGATAACACCTGAAGGTGCCCAGGTCCTGTTGCAGGACACTGTAGAAATGCCAAATGTCCCGGTGTGAGGTGTCAGATGAAGCAGGAGGAAATGAGCTTCTCCTGCTGCTGCTGCTGCTAACAGGCCAGCGTGCACTCATACAAAATTCAGCAGGTCAGGGACAAAGCTGTGCAGAAGGGCAGGGTGGAGCCACACAGGACAGCTGACCTGCCTTCTGAGGTATGGCTGGCAAGGGAGTTCACCTGGGCAAGGCAAAGGATCCCCCTTGATCAAGAAGTCAGAGAGCCACAGATTTTGCTATAGGCATCATTCACAGAATGCCAGAGTGGTTTGGGTTGGAAGGGACCTTAAAGCTTATCTCATTCCATCCCCTGCCATGGACAGGGACACCTTCCACTGTCCCAGGTCACTCCAAATCCAGCCCAACCTGGCTATGGACACTTCCAGGGATCAGGCAGCCACAGCTTCTCAGGGCAACTTGTGCCAAGGCCTCAGCTCCCTCACAGGGAAGAACTTCTTCCTAAAAGCATTTTCGGATCAGCCCAGCCCAACCAGAGCCAAATTTAATCAAAGACAAATAATGATGCATGTTGGAAAGCCCTGCAGTATTTCACCACACTGTTTTGAGTAAATAAACCAAAAAACACTCATTTTCTTTAAAGCACCCACGCTCCTTGGATAGATGTGGCCCAAATCTGACTCTTTCATGATCGGCAGCCTGGTTCTTTAATTCTTCCTGTGTTTAATTCAAACCCAAGTGCTAGAAAAGAAGGAGATTTCGGTGTTCTGGCACCCTGCTGTCCCCAGAAACTCTGGCTGGTTCCAGACCTCGTGGTCTTATTAGCGGATGCCAGCAGGAAACACAAAACTAAAAATTTCCATGGGTGTGGGGGCCAGGTAGAAGCCAAGGAGACAGAAGGGATTTCAGGAGAACATGCAGAAACACCCCATTTCTTGCCCTGGGCAGCTTCTGGGACATCACTTGAATGACATCGGGAGACAAAATAGAGGCACTTTGTTCTAGTTCTGTGGCTTGTGGAGGTAATGCAGAAATTCCCCCAGGGAAAAATCAACAGAGAGAGGGGAAACATCTGCATTTCTCCCTGTCCCAGGGCTTGCTGCTGTCTGAACAAGGCTGCAAAGGGCTAAAGAGGCCTTTGCTCTCTTGCACTCACTGAGTGCAGGTGATGGGAAGTTGGGCTATGCAGAGTTCTGAGGTTTTGGCCCCCAAAACTTCCAAGGGCTTCTCTGAAGATTTTCTCAGCAGTGCTACTGAGATCTCCCCTGACTGCGACACGTGCAGCTTCCTTGAGCTTGGAGGAAGGGGAAAAGGCATTTGAAGGGATCTCAGAGAGTCTGAGGGCAACCAGCTGCTGCCCTGACCACTGCTACAGCTCCATGGGCTGTTTTCCTACCAGGAACATAGACCTGTGCTAACCTCCTACTGGAAACCTCATCCCCCTGGTATTCCTTCCCTCCCTCAGGGACTACCAGTTCCCCACACAGCTCCTCACCCTTCCTCTCAGGGCTGGAGACATTTGCCTGTCCGAATGTAAACTCCCTTTGTTTCCAGACCACCCACTTCAGCCTTTTCCACTCCCTTTGGAAAAGGAGGGGATGGGATGTCTTAAAACCCAAATCTGTCTCCATCCCACATGAATGCGGTGTTCTCATTTCCATCAGTGTCATCTATTTACATGAGAAATGCTCAGGGAGGAAATTGAGGTTACTGAGAGGAAAAAAGTGCCTCACATCAGCCCCAAATCCCTGTGGGATGCGCTGCCTGTGCCCTATCCCAGACCTTGCCCCACATTGCAAGTAGGACAGACTGCAATTAATGCCCCCAGCAACCAGAAAGTGCCACTGAGCTTTCCTGCCAGCCTGAGGTGGGAAGGGGCTGCACTGCAATATTAATTTGTTTATTCAAGGTCACTCTGGAATGGCTGAGCAGGGAGCTGGGCTGGGTGTCTGAGGTCTTTCCCCTGAACCATCCTCACTCCACCTCTGAGCTGGTGCTGGTGGTGTATGAGACACAGGCTCAGAGCCCTGCAGTCTCCATTAATGCCTCTGCCAATATTCCCACCAACAAATCAAGAAATCACTTCTACTGGGGAACATCCACCACTGCAGGGCTGTCAGCAGTCAGGCACAGAGGCAAAACACTGCTGTGTTTTCGGCCACAGACATGGAGCTACAAGTGTGAAGTACTCGTATGTCCTGCCAATCTGATGGCACAGCCTAAAGAGTGCTAGGGTAAGTGTTAAAAAGCTTTAGAAATCAGCTTGCATTAACTTTTACCCACCCTTGCCAGGCTCCAAAGAAGACCAGTGGCATCTTTTCATGTTCCTTATCACTGGGATATCTCCGGGTGCTCAGTACGCTCCCCAAGCCATGGGCAGGATTGTGCTCAGCCCCGTGCACCAAGAGGAGCTCGATTTAAAAGCTCTTGGCTGGCCAAGAGCTCTTGGGTGAAATCCCCAAGGCAAAGCTCAAGGAAAGGCAATGCTTGTTCTGGAGAGACACCTGCTGGCAGTGCCCGCGGAGCCCGAGCTGGAAGCTTGGGGACTGTGAGAAAGAGTTGTAATTCTCAGATCCAAAGAAAAACAACCAATGCTTCTTTTCTTGTTTCTTACAGAACAAAGGAAAAAATACTCCAACTCCAACATCATTATGCACGAGACTTCCCAGTACCACGTCCAGGTGAGCACACACAACAGAGTGCTAGGGGGCTGGGAGGCCGAGGTCAGTGATAGGTGCCTGTAGTGCAGTGTGTTCCCTGTGTTCTGGACCTTTAGGAGGCCAAGGGCGAGTTGGGAACCTCCTTACCATTAAAGTCTCAAGTCACTGAGTAAAGGAGAATGGGGGGGAAAGAAGATTTCAATAAACAAGGGGAATTCTGTACAAGGAAAGAGGAAATGGAGAAGCTGTTGTCTTCTCCCTCCTCTGTGTTTGAAGGAGAGCATGAAACGCTGTCTGTCCCGTCACCCTGTGCTTTAAGCCCTTCTGATCAGCACAGACAGGTTAAAAGCAGAGTTCCCATGGTGGTTACTGGAACTTAGCTTTCCAAGCAACAGAGACCACATGGACTATCAGCTTTCAGCTCTCCTCAGCTACTGTGTCCTCTCAGGTAACACAAACGCCTTCACACAAGACAGGCAATATGCCAAATCCACCTCCCACTGCCACAGACACCCATCCCAAAAAGAGAAGCCAGCCTGGCCATCCTGAGCTTGGCAATTCCTGTAATGCAACTTGGTGGTGCAGGACTCCATGGAGGAGGTTGGGCCATGCATCACTGAAAACTGAGCAAGGCAAGACAGGAAAACACTTCCTCAGGTTCATATTTAGGAGATGGGGCCCTTTGAAAGCCTACATTTAGACTTGAAAAGTCCCTGTTTGGAAAGAGGTCCTGGTTTCCATTGGAGAAACCAACTCAGTGGCTCAGAAGTCACTCATGGATGCAGAGAAGGGACTTTAAACAGTGACATGTAAATTAATTCTTTATTAATTATGCCATAAGCCACCCATTTGTGAGTTTCTCCCCTGAACTTTGACCAAGGCAAACAGGATTGCAGTGGCAGGCAGTGAGATAGAATGAGGTTTCCTCACAGGAGGCATTTTATACCCTTTGAAGTAATCAGATCAAAGTTTAATGGTGGGTGGAGTCATTGCCCATTCTAATAAAAGTTGCTGTATTTGAATGTCTATCTGGATGAAAAGGGGTTTTAAGGGATAAAACAAAGACAGCAACAAGCTTCTCCCTCTCAATCCACCCATATCTACAGAAAATGGAAAGCAGAAAAATATTCTAATGATTTAGTCAGAAAAGTAACTTCCCCTCCATGAAAACTGACTGAACAGTAAACAGCAAAAGAATTTATGAAGCTTGTAAAGGTGGTGGATAAAATAATAAAAGAGATAAAAATGCCTGTCATCTTGAGTAAACCCATACCCTCACTGCTCTGAAAGAAAAGGGCTTGTCACCTCTGCACAGATAAAATTGACTTGGCAAATACCTTCCCATGCACTATTTTACAATTACTGTAACATACACCCAGCATGTTTTTCATTCGTGATTGCATTGCTAATCTCAGCTTTCAGCTCACACACCTGCCAGGAGTTCTATTTAGACAGTGCCTCACCCCATACCTTCGCTTGATGAACACAGGAGTGGGCCTTGCATTGTCCTCTGCTCTGCTCCTTCCTCCAGTCTTTGGAAAACATCTAACAGCAAATGGGTCACCACAAACCCTCTACAGCCCTAATGCCCAAGAGCATGTTTAAAGATTTTCTGCAAGGTCTACAAGTGCTTTAAATCCAAGCCTTTCCCTGCATCCACCCTGTGTGGAGCCAACTGCAGCAACAGCTCTTGCCTGTGCTTCCTCACAACCAGCCAAGGCTCTGTGCTCCAAGTGCACACATCCATCTCAGGTTCATCTGGTCTGTGCCAGACCCCAACATCCACAGCTTCTCCAAGTCCCACAGCAGGACATGCTCTAGCAGCAGCAGCTTTTGCTGCCTCTTAATCTGCTTCCCACTTTGCATTTACTTGGGCTTTTACAAGGAGAAAGGAATTCTTTCCCAACAACTTCATCATCCTCCTCCATGGCCCATTGATGCACGTGTCAACTGTGGACACAACCCACTGGGTTACTGAATCAGCTCAGGAGTGCATCAGCACCAGAAAGAAGCTACTTGATCCCTAATTCTAGGTTATTTCTGATCACTGGGAGAAAGCAGGAAGATACAGGATCAAGGGGAGAAAAGCCAGGCAAAACACATCCAGTTACTACAAATTTCCCATCACTTTAGGACTTGCTTTAAAACACCCCCTGTTTTTGCAGCTCTTGCTTTGAAACCAGGATGTGTGCATCAAAGAGAAGCAGGCATTTCACTGCTGCACTCCCCACAAACTCTGATTGCCCAGCAGGACCATTTTTGGGTGGCCACACTGCTGTCCCTGGCCCCCTAGGGCAGTTCTACCTGCAGCACTATGTGATTCTCCTGCTCCAGGGGTTAATCTGCTCCTGGCTCTTCAGCTTAGCCACTGCTGCTGAAGTACCTGCTCTGTACCCTACTGAGCAAGGAAACCAGGATGAGAGGGTCATGCTGGTGGATGGGCCTTTAATACTCCAGGGACAAGAGAAAAAGCCTGGGATCTGGCCCTATAAGCCTCCAAGGGCTGCAGGCCCTTGGACTGCATAGATGCTTAGTCAGGCCTGTAACTTAACCATGCAAAAAACTGCTTTTCTCTGCTGGAGAAAGTTGGTAAAGACAGGGAAAAGCTTCAGCTGCTTTTTGACAGTCAGGCACGTTCCCCTTCCCTTCTTACCAAGAACATAGCTGGGCAACAAAAGAACAAGGTGAAACAGAACCTTGTTCCTTCCTGAGGTTTTTTTCCTTCCCTGTTATCACCTGAACATGTGGCCTGGCTGTGCTGTCTCTGCCCCAGGGACAACAGCTGGGCAAACATCTTGGCTGCTCGGAGTCCCAGCTTTTCCTGCCTTGCAGTGCCCTCTGCTGGCACACACACCCAGTTCTTCCATCTGCAGGGAGCAGCACTTGCTCACCTGGACTTGCGGAGTTGCCTTCACCCTCTGCTGGTGGGGACACAACATTTGGATGTGACACACCTCTCCTTTCCACAGCTGCCTCCCTGCCCACCACTCCCTTCCCATGGAGTCCCTGGGGCCCACCAAAGCTGCAAGTGCTGCCCCGTTACACAAACTCTTCACATACAGGTGCCAAGTGCAAGGCTTGGATCACCACACACTTCAGAGTGCAGTTGGAGCAGGGATGGGAAAGCAGCTTGGATGGCTGTGCTGTAGCTGAGCTGCTCCTGGCCCAAGTGCTCACACAGGGTGGGGAAGGAAGGGAGGACAGCACGGAAGCCTGGCTGATGGGAAAAGACCATGGGCTGGGTTTACAGGATAGGTGAAGGGAGGTAGGAATACCAGGATAACCAAGCAAAACCACAGGGCAGGACAGAGGCAGGCAGCAAAAAATCCTTTCCTACAGTCAGCAACACCCATTTTCACTCCTATGAGGGCTGATTTGGGTATTTTTGGGGAGAAGGTAACCCCAACCCTAAGGGGGGCTTAAAGGCCTGGGGTAGAGTGAGCTGCCAGGTTTGGAGCTCCTGCAGGCTTTGCAGCATAGAAGCTCTTCAGAGCAGCTGTTCCCAGAGCATGGGACCCCACACATTGCATGGATCCCACTTGGCACGGAGGACCAACACTTGTCCATGGTTTGTGTGAGCTCTTTGCCTGGCACAAATCCCACACAAAGCAGGTTTGCTACACAAGACAAGCAAAACACAAGTGCTTTTATAGTTTGGCAAGCAAATCAATGATTTTACTGCCATAGTTCTACTTCCAAGCTAGATTCAGAGGGGCCTGGGGAGTAACTCATGTGTGTGAAGCATTTGCCCTGCTGGACAGGGATCAGGGCTGCTGGAATTGATGAGAGTAATATAAAAGTGGTGAAACTGGTTATGAAAACCCATTATGAAACCCAAATCTTTCACTGCCACGACCAGGCTGGTACCAATGACCAAAACTGTTTTGTGCAGCAACAACTTCATGCCTGAGCTCTGAGAAACTACAAACAGTAATTGAAGCCTCAAGAGATGCTGTCATCACCAATTTATACACCCCAAAAAACATTTTCCATCTGTTTTTATCTCCTTTCTCTCCCCAACTTCAGCACTTGGCCACTTTCATAATGGACAAGAGCGAGTCCATCACAACAGTGGATGATGCAATCCGGAAACTCATCCTGCTCAACTCCAAAGAGAAGATCTGGACACAGGAGATGCTGCTGCAAGTGAACGACAAGTCCATCCGGCTGCTGGACTGTGAGACACAGGTACCTGGAGCCCTGTGGGACTGACCCCAGACTGAAGTGTGGGGTGCAGTGAGTGCCCTTTCCATTCTGCCTGGGAAAGGACAAGTTCTAAGGAACACAAACAAGGGTGAATCATTACCAAAATCCTCTCCTGGAGTAGAGTCACTCTGCAGCATGGGAACAGGATGGTTTTAGCAATGACAAATTAAGGAAGATCAGCCCAGGGATCCCAGGAGTTCCTGCACAGCACCATTCCCTCTCAGTTCAGTAGTTCCCCATTGCCTGACACCTTCCCCCTTCTCTTGCAGGAGGAGCTGGAGGACTTTCCCCTGCCAACAGTGCAGCACTGCCAGACAGTGCTCAATCAGATGCGCTATTCCTCCATCCTCCTGCTTGTGTGTCAGGATTCTGAGCAGCACAAACCTGACATCCACTTCTTCAACTGTGACGAGGTGGAGGTAAGCAGAGCCCTCCTGCTTGCTGTGAAACAGAACAAAACACACTGCTTGCTGTCTGCCCTTTCGCCCTTCCTCCAATCCTTCCTAAAGCCAAGCCCTTAGAGACATCCCTGTTTTATCCTTAAGGCGGAGATGGTTCATGAGGACATAGAGAGTGCCCTGGCAGACCACAAGCACGGGAAGAAGATACGGCCACAGACACTCAAGTAAGTGCTGCGGGATACAGCTGGGAGCAGCAACAATAAACCTCTGTTTCCAGTGGTTTAGTCACACTCCAGTCTCTTGGAAATGGGATCTGCCACCACTGATGGGTTTGTTCTGTGTCATTTTCTTTGCAGGGCAAACCAGGAAAAGATCAAGCAGAGACAATCCATCCTCCCCCCACCTCAAGGACCGGCTCCCATCCCAATCCAGCATGACATGCGAGGCTCAGCAATGAACAGGAACAGGGTGGCACCTCCTTCCCAGCATGATCCAGGTACTGGGAGCACTCAGGAAGTCTGTCCTGGGGATGGGAGACTAATTAATTCAGACAGCCAACTTTCCTGAAGTGCTCTGTGGTGAAAATAACTCTTGTACCCACTGGGCATCTTCTGCTCAACAAATAAAATCTCCCAGAAACTCCTTGTAACAACACCCTTATTTGGGGGATACAGAAATGCCAAAAAAACAAAAACCCCTCATAAGCCATCACATGAAATTTGAACCAGGCATTGGTGATCTTAAAATGTATAGACAAGACATTTGGTTAGAAAGACAAATTCCTGGCTCTGCTGACTTCACAGGAGACAAGATTTCACCCTTGAAAATCAACTTGTTTTCATGAATTCTTGTAAAGTCAAGTGTGGAAATGCAGATCTAAACACCCCTCTTATGTGCTCATCTAAAGTCTAATTCCAAAACCATCGTGACTTCAGCCCATTTGAGTTGGCTTGGAAAAACCTGGCACTTTGCTTTGAAAAAAGTAACAGAATTAAGTTCCTAGGAACAGAAACAAGCTCTTTCTCTTACAAAAGATCAAAGTGATGAACAAACTGTAAGCATTTTTTACTCCTGCCTATCCTACCACCTTATCTTAGAATCCATTTCTAGTTTCAAGGAAAACAAAAACACGTAATAGGATACTATAACACATCCAAAACACTCATTTGCTGGAATGGCTTCTGAAGCCAAGCAACTGCTCTGGCTGCTGAATGGAGAACTTATTTCAGGCCCAGTTCTGCATCATAAAAGGAATATCTCTATTTCTCAGCTGGACCATGAATAAACATCTCTATTCTGGTGAAAAGCAGCCACTCTTACCTCTGCCCTTCCAAGGCTGCTCACATCAGCAGAGCTGGGAATTCCTCTAGGCAGGATTTCTGGCTCTGAGTGCACAGAGCCTGGCAGGAGAGCAGATGACAGGAGAAAGTCTTGAGTGATGCCTGTTTACTGAGATTCCTTCTCCATGAAACACCTTCCTGCTTTTCCTACAAAACCTGTCCTCAGGGACGGGGTACCTCATCCCCACATTTACAGATGCTCTGGACTTGTCATGGTCCTTTGCCAAAACTGCCTCCCCAGTTCTCCCACTTGGCAGATCCTGCTGTGCTGACCCTTTCCATGTCCCTGCCCTGAGTTGACACCATTTGCTTTGTACCAGGAGCCAACCCAGCGATTGTTCCCACTAGGATATCCCCCCCACACTGGGTGTGTGGCTTCTGGAAGCCAGGAGGTGCCTTAGGGTTGGGTTTTTTGTAGGATGATTGTGATTTAGCACCTGTGACAAACATTATTCCTGAAGTGCCCTCACAACCCAGAACAAACATCCAAGCTTGCAGCTACCATCCCATGGACCCCTGTCTTTTATGGAGCCTATTTCCAACCTCTGATAGTAAATCTGTTTTTCTCTCCCTGGTTTGCAGACTATGACCGACGAAGCTCTGGCTCTCATGACCATGAGGAATCCCGCGCCATGTTAGCACAGAAGATTGAGAAGGAAACGGTGGGTGACAGGGACACTGCACAGTCCATAGGCAGGGGCAGAGGCAGGGAGCAAGGGAGAGGGAGCAGAGGCAGGGAGCAGACATTTAATGCATCATCTAGGCATTTTTCCAATTGATACCTGCTGTGCATAAAGATAAGGTGGCCAAAAGCAAGTCTCCATCACCGCATCACAATGTGGTGACAATGTGACAATGTCCTCTGACCTGAGGCAGCTCTGCTGATTCCAGCTCTGCTCCTCCCCATCCCACTTGGGTTATTTTCCAGCTGTCCATTAGGAGGCGTCCCTTGTCCCCTTGGTAAGGACAGCTCACAGCCAGGCCCAGCAGCTCTGTGCTTGCAAAGGGATGCATTGAGCTGCACTTCATGCCTGGATCGCCCACTTGTGTGCATTCTCCCAGGAAATGCAGCAGGCCCTGGGATTCAGGCTCCCAGCTGTGTGCAGCCCAGGCTCACTTTCACACTGGTCCCTTGGGTTTCTGTCCTCACAGCAAATCCTGAACTGCACCCTGGATGACATTGAAGTGTTCGTTGCCCGGCTCCAGAAGGCTGCAGAGGCATTCCGACAGCTCAACCAAAGGAAGAAAGGGAAGAAGAACAAGAAGAAAGGGCCAGCAGGTGCAGTGCAGCAGCCACAACAAACGGGGAGCACAGCGGGGTCATGGATGAAGGTGGGGGGGACACCTCAGCTCCTGGCCCAGCAAGGCCGATCGATGCCATGGCACAGCCACAGATCCAGGCACACAAGTGTGGGAGGTGCTGCTCTCTCTGGCAGAGCACGCAGAGCCTCCGGCACAGAAAGGAAGTTTGCCTTTCCCTGAACCCCTGATTTTCAGTAGTTCTGGTCTCAACACCCATTTCTGCTGTGCCTTCTGCATGGAAGGCAGATGGAAGCTTCCCAAAGGGGATGCTCTCACTAATGTGTCCTTCTCTGCCCCTTCACTTGGCAGAGGGAATGCTGACCCTCCGAGCAAGACCCCCGAGTGAGGCTGAGTTCATCGACTGCTTCCAGAAAACCAAACTGGCTTTTAACCTCTTGGTAAGACACAGAGGAGTTTCCATCCCATGCAGGGACAGGGCTTTCTTTTCCCTGTGAATACCAGCAGTAAGTGTTTAAAGTGAAACTTGAATGGAAAACACTGACAAGGGACAACAGTGTGAATTCCATGTTCTTCAGAACTCAGGACAAACATTGTGTCAGGCTTGTGCAGTTTTTCTGGGACAAGCTGTTAAACCAAAACTAGAAGCACCAAGTCCAGGAAGGGACAGAGCAGCCAGAGGGTTGCAGTGCCCAGATCTTTTCAGATCCAGGCCTGGGGAATCTCTGCTTGACAGTAACTGAAGTCCCCCATTGCCCCAATATTCCTGACCCCTCTCTCCTCTGCCAGACCTCTGTATTGTGAAGGGGATGAAAAGAAAGAGATAAAGATGTTCCCAGTGCTACCAGCTCTGCTCAGTGAAACACAAGAGACAGGGAAGATAATAAGGCAGCAGGAATTCTGTCTGTTGTGACCAAACACATCATCCAAGCTCCCTCCTGGGCAGTCATTAATAAGGAAACCCCAGAGATGGGGTTTGCAGGACACCAAGCTCCAGCCTTTTCTTTGAGAAGCAAATATGGATACTTTGTGCCTGCTCAGGATCAGAAGGAACAGTTTATCTCCTGGCAAGAGCCCAGGGTTGAGCGTGGAGCAAAGCTGGGACTCCATGGTGGATCTGTGCCACATTCCTCACCACATAGCTGCTAAGTCCTTGGGAAGTGCCCATTCACTGGGTCACCCTGCTGCCAGCAGTTGTTTCTCACTTCCCACTCCACATTAATGCTTAATCTTCAGCATTTCAAATGCTTTGCATTTCTGTAGGAGCAGGGAGCCTGTCTCTCATGGCAGCAGTGCCAGGAGCCCAGGACAGGAGAAGGATCTTGAATGGAAGCACAAACTGGAGAGGTTTCTCATCACAGCTGCTACCAAAACCCAGTTCTTACAGTAAATTAATCCCAAGTGTTTGCTCCTCCATTCTGCCACAGTTCACCTCAAGCACAACTGGATTTGGAGCCTTTCAGTGGCCAGGGCAGCTCCAGCTGCCACAGGCAAGAGCTCGGTGAAGACTTTCCCTTGTCAGCAATTGCAAAGGGACCCTCAAAACACCTATCCTGTTGTTTTCATTCATAGAACTAATGGGATTCTCAACCCTGAAAGAGGCAGAAGCAACCATAACCCTGACCTTTCCTCCCTAGGACTTTCAAAATAAGCCAAGGTTTTGTGTGTCTGTTCCACAATTACCTTCCAAGGCACTGATTTAACAGAGAGGGTACTCCACGCATCCAAAAATTCATCAGGAATTAGAAATGGACGCAAAATTAAAATAAATTATTCCTACTCCTCCATCCCTTACTCTTCTCATCAGCCAGCAACACTCCCACCATGTGACAGAGAAGAGAAGGAACACTCAGGTTAGGGTTAAACTGTGTTTCTCTTTCCAGGCCAAACTGAGGAAGCACATCCAGAACCCCAGCGCTTCGGAGCTGGTGCATTTCCTATTTGGGCCACTGGAACTGGTAAATCTTATTCCCAGGTCTCACTGGGAACTCCCATTTTATTTCTACTTCACACTTACAAGCAGACAGATTGTGCAGAAGGGTTAGAAAACTGCTCACACCTGGCCACAGCTTTCTCAGGAACTTCCAGAAGTGATGCTGGTTGTTCCTGGCCTCTGATCTGGTTTGCAGCTTAAAGTAAATACAGGAACCCCAGCAAATATGAATTTTTCCATCCAATCAATAAAGCATTACTGTGAGCAAAAGGGGCAGTGAGCTGGGGTTCCCACGGGGAATCTGTCTGGTCTCACCTTCAGGCAAACACAGCTCAGTATTTGCACTAAAAAGGCTTGGAAGCAGAAATCCCAACTTGGAAAAGGAGCCAGAAGGGACACGGGAATAGAAAGATACTTTCCATTTTTTCAAGTGTCAGCTTGTGACACTTCACTTGTCTGTAGCAACAGCTCATTTATAGATCAGATCTTTCACTCCAATCTAAAAAAATTTCATGTTCCCCTGAACTGTCCAGTCTCCTTCAAAGACTTGGGTTGGTGTTTCTTGAGGTGACTGAGCTGATCCAAGGATCAGCTTTGTCTTTGATTCCTGCTCCTCTGTGTGTCCCTGGTTTGACACTTTGACCGTTGCAAGTTCTCTCCTCTATGTGTGGTTTGTCTGTGACCCAGATCATCAATAGCTGTGGTGGCCCCGAGCTGGCCCGGTCTGTCCTCAGCCCACTGCTTTCTAAAGATGCCACCGATTTCCTGAGAGGGCACCTGACACCCAAAGAGATAAACCTCTGGGATTCCCTGGGGGAGACATGGACCAGATCCAGGTGAGGACAGAGCTGCCATCTCCCCAAGCTCCCCAGGCAGAGGGGATGCTTGGATGCCCTGATGCTCCTGCTTCTCCTTTGAGAGGATGTTCCCAAAGACACATTCCTGTGAATGTCACCTGATATTCCCACTTTGTGTCCTAGAGCCGAGTGGCCCCGAGACGCGAACATCCCCACCTACATCCCCAAATTCCGCAATGGCTGGGAACCACCCACAGAAATCTTCCGTGGAGCTCCCTGGGAAATCGACATCGGACATTTGCAAGAGGAGGTTAGTCCTGTGTCCCTGGGGATCCTCTCTTCCCTCTCCGTTCCCCTTTTCCATAGAGATCGAGCTGAGGGGGGTGTGGTGGTGTACAACAAGTAGTTGGATCAAAACTCAATTGGATCTGGTCGCTCCAACAACCAGAGCGTTAAATATGGAAAGCAAATTGTGAGGCTGGAAGAGGGCAGCAATAATCAGCCTCTCCCAACTCAAGGCAACAGGACCCTACAATGTCACTGAGCTCCAGGGACACAGGCTTCCCTGAAGAACATCTTGACCAAAAGCTGCCAGGCCATGACTCATCTCCCACTATATGCCTCTCCTTTTCTCTGATCAGCTTTCCCCTTTCCTGGTAACACTGACTCCATGTCTGCCTTTCCAGCTCTCCTCAGCCAATGGATATCCTTACCGGAACTCCTCACTCAAGCGTGGCCAGACGGCTGAGCAGACACAGCCTGGGGATGCCTTCAAACAGAATGTCACTCCACATGGAAATAGGTAATGGATCTGCACCCCTGGAGCTTCAGCTCCTACCTTGGAACCTCATGGACACACATGGTGACACTGGGAAGTTTGGGCATCCTGGAGACAACTCCCTACCACTATTAATAACCTCCAAGAGAAGATAAAGATCAGCTGAGGGATTATTCCTATGAGCATTGTCTGCTGTTTAACCCCCTGCAGCTCTGCAAGGAAAGGAATCCCAGGCGTTTTCCACCACAGGAGACAAAAATATTGGCTGACTTCATCAGTCCATCCATAGGTTTTGTTTCCCAACATCAGCCCACCAAAGTGACTTTCAGGATCAGGTGCCAAAGGTGCTGCACTGTGCTTTGGCTCTCCACATGTGTAGAAATGTTGGAATCATGGAATTACAGAATGGATTGGGTGGGACGGGACCTTAAAGATTACCCAGTTCCAACCCCCTGCCAGGGCCAGGGCCACCTTCTGCTATCTCAGGTTGCTCCAAGCTCTGTCCAACCTAGCCTTGACCACTTCCTTGGATGGGGCAGCCATCTTTTCTGGGCAACCTGTGCCAGGGCCTCCCCACCCTCAGAGGGAAGAATTTCTTCCCAATATGCATCTAAACCCACCCTTTGGCAGTGGGAAGCCATTCCCCCTTGTCCTGTCACTCCAGCCTCTTCCCCAAAGTCCCTCTCCAGCTCTCTTGGAGTCTCCTTAGGCACTTGAAAGGGCTCTAAGTGTTCCCTGGAACCTTCTCTTCTCCAGGTTGAACATTCCCAGTTCTTCCAGCCTGTCTGTGTAATGCTCCAGCTCTTGGAGCACTTCCTGGCCCTTCCTGGCCTCCTCTAGACACCCTTGAGGATCTCTCCACTCATCCCAAAGCCACCACAGGCTGCACAGACAGAAGCTGCCTACAGGGGGAATCTGCCCTAAGGGAAGGGCGCACACAAACCTTGCCCTGTTGGAAACACAGGGCCAGGGAAGAGCGGCCCAAGCTCCCAGTGCTGCTGGAAAACATTTCAGCTGAAGAAGGAGCTTTGTTTCACTGGAGACAGCAGCTACCCCTTGGCTTTAGACACAACCAAAGGCAACCCCACTGATTAGAGGCTGAATAAAAGAATATATTTCAGTCCTGCCCACCTCTCCCCCAGGCAACTGACAGGGTGCTGGGTTCAGACAACTCTTCTTAATGAGAAGAATTCTAGAAAATGGAGAAAAACCCCTCCCCTTTCTTCAGAAGTCTCGGAAAGTTCACTTCCAAACCCAGAACCAACCAGGCCACTCTTTTGCCTCAGGCTTTTTCCCAAGGGAAAGATGGCTCTTCCACCTTTCAACAGCTTCAATGCTCATTTTCCATCACCAGTTATTCCTTGATACAAAACCTTCATCAAAGTACTTTTAGTTCAGAGTTTAGAGGCTCCATCTACTTCCTTGTTTACATGAGCTCACACCTTGAAAATTGTCACATCTCTGAGTGTCACCAAACTCTTCCAAACTTCCACATGAATCCTCTGTCGTGACTTGACAGAACACTTTGCAGGGATTTGAGTCAAGGTTTCAGCTGACCATCCATTTTTCTGTCATCAGCTCTAGTCTGGGAAAAAACCCCTCAAGCCAGACTGTTTTCCATGGTTTTCTGTTCTAGTCTAAAAGATTTATAAGCTTTACTACAAGAAATTAAATCCACAGCAAAAGACCTTAAATCCACTTATATCAGCAAAATAATAATTTTTTTTCTCATTTTTACCCTATCACTGGTCCTGGTAGGAACATCAGGTGGTAGAGATACAGTGTGGAACAGGGAAAGGATAATTTCTCTTCTCCAATTTCAATTTTCTTGGCCTTGTAATTGGATGGGCCTCCACTAAAACTCCAGTTTTTCTCTCCTGCAGGAATTTTGAGGCCCAGGGAGTGGCTGTGCCCAGGAGATTTGCCAAAATCCGCTACGATTTCACTGCGCGAAACGCCAACGAGCTCTCGGTGCTGAAGGATGAAATCCTGGAGGTACGTGAGCACTCCTGGGAAAGGTGTGTCCCCTCCCCTTCCCAGGGCAGCAGAGAGCTCAGGATAGCAGCCAGCACCAATCCCATTTCCCCTGGTGGTGTGTGAGCAGTGACCCAGAGCTTTGCTCCAATCCAAGCTGGCACAGGCTGCCTGTGCTGGGCTGTGTCACCTCCTCAGCTCAAACACATCGGTCCCATCCGAACCACGGTGAGGAGGGAGGACAACAACTCCCTGTCCTGCTCTGCTCCTCCCCTGCTGGGTCTGCGCTCCTTATTACCCTTCCCCCTCCATGAGGAATTGTTTTCTCTGAAAAATATCTTTTTCATAACCTTTCTCTTCCTGCAGCTGGAGAATGTGGGACATTATTTGGGCTAACACTGATCCGTGACCTGGGGAAAAGGTTTCTGTGCAAAATGTAGCTTAAAAAAAAAAAATATTTATTTATTTTAACACAAAAAGGCAACAGAAACTCAGTCATTGGAAAAAAAAGATCTGGAGAAACAGGGACATTACATAGCAAGTATGAGTTCTTCAGCACCTGGAAGTGCTCTCCTCTTCACCCTTATGATAAATTCTGATGCCTTCCAGGAAAAGTTTCAATCCTGGGTTACATCTGAGAGCAGCAGATCTAATCAGAGCTCCTGGCCTCAGTGATGTCCTCCTGGCAACTTCACCTTCTGGGTGGTCCATCCCCACTGTATCCTGGTTCTATATGCCTGAAATCCCATGTTCCCACTAGCAGATTCATTTTTGTCCCTCTCTCAGGTGTTGGAAGATAATAAGCAGTGGTGGAAGTTGCTCAACCGGAGTGGGCAGGCTGGTTACGTTCCATACAATATCCTGGATGTGGTGACACTGGAAGAGCTTGAACAGGTCTGTAGTCAGGTGGTACCTGACTGGCACCAGCTGCAGGGCACAATCTGCCTCTGGGAATAATCTTGTCATTAGACCTCCCTGGATTTCTTAGGATACTACGCACAAGTCAGGATGAACCCTCAGAAGTAGAAAAAGTCAGGAGATTCCTGAATCTCCTATGATAAAACTCCCATTTTGCCATCATCACCTTCCCAAATAAGGCCTATCCTTCCCATTTGTGCAGCAGCCTCCTGTCTTCCAAATTTTTCCATGTCAAGCTTTTTGCTGGGGATTAAATTAAAGATGGACACTTCCCTCACCCAGTTCAGTTCAGCAGCAGGAATACATCACTCCAGTGGAGGCAGATGGAAATGCCATTTAAGTGAGAATTACGTGAATACTGCAACTTCCACTCCAGAAATGTGGAGCTGGAGTGTTCTGAACACCCTAGGAAAACATGGAATTGCTTCCCAATTTTGGTATTGCAGAGTTTGGACAAAGCCAAAGAGGGCCCAGCAAGCTTCTGGATAGTTTAATCAAAATGTCAAAAAACTTCCCAGTCTGCTCCAGGCCCTTGGCAATGGTCATGCTTCACATCCCAGCTATGGAGCATTTAGGCTTTGCCTTCCAATGGGATTGTACATGTTTGGCATGTCTAGGATTCCCTCATGCAAACTTCAGACTTTGCTTTGGGTTCTTCATTCCCAGAAATTAACTTCTTCCATGCTGCTCCACCTGAGGTGTCACCAGCCCCACATCAGCACAAGGACAACATGGCAGTTTGTCTCTTAAATGAAAATGAAAAATGGCAGGAAAAAAGTCTTACTTTTTTTTTTTTGTCCCCCCCTTTCTAAGCAGTCTAACCAGAGGTACAAAGGAGACCTGAGCCCCAGAGGCTATGGCCCATCCAGTCCAACTCACAAGCTGCCTGCCAGCTACGCCGGGGATAAGTGGGGCAGTGAGATGTTATCACGCAACTCTACACAGGACGCCAAAGAACGTACGTGTGTGTCCCACCCTATGTCCCACGCTGGGGTCCCCTGGGGTTGGGTGCTCTGGGGACCAGACCTACCCAAGGGGCTCCCCTGCACCCTTCAGTGATCAGAAATAGAACAGCACCAGGTCTGGAGGCCACTGCAGGTAGGACAAGAGCCAAGAGAGCAGCCCTGGAGCTTGTGAACATCCCAGGCTCTCAGGCCGCCCAGGACAAGCAGGGCAATAAGTGATCACCCCATTCCTCCTTCCTCCAGCTTGACCTTCCTCCTCCTCCTCCTCCCAAGGCCTTTTTCTTCCAAAGCATTTAAATGTGTCTAAGGAAGACCTCAGGTCAATCCCTTTCTCTCCTTTCCTTTTGCTCATATCCTGCCACACATGTAGTGCCTGCCTGGCTGGTTCCTTTATGTGGTTCCACAGAATTCCCAGACAAACAGGAGATCCCTCCTTCACCTGGACATGTTGTGGGGGTCACAGAGCAGGAGAGGGACCAGGGGCCCCACTCTCCTCACCCCTTATCCCACCCTGTCCACTCTTGGAAGCAGGAGCCCTTTTGGGACGATGGAAAGCCCCTCAATACAAGGACACGGATCTTTCATAACACCCAGTTATTCTCCACAGTCCTCAGGAGTTTCATGGGGAAAGTGACACTGGATGAAGTGTCCCTGGAGTTTTCCCAGAATCACAGGGACCTTCAAGCTCATCTCATCATGAGTGTGTTCCTCACTCCCAGTTTGGGCTTCCTGCCGCTTCTGTTCCGCTGTGGAGCAAAACCTGGAGCTCTGGGATCAGCAAATCACTGAGTAGAAGTAGCAGAGAGGACTGAAAAGGTCTCAATCCCAACTCTCCAATTGTAGATTCTCACAGATCTGTCCTTCCAGATCAGGCAACAGCCAAAGGGTGATGGGAGGAAAATAAATGGCAACACAGGGGCTCAGGAAAAGGGGAACCACTTTTCTGGCCTGAATTTAAATAAGATTGCTGAGCCACACCCCCATTTTCCTTACAATTTCCCCACCAACACATTTAATGGGATTTTTGACTGAAGATTTGATTTCATTCCCTACCTGTTTCTGCAGAACTTATTCACCAAATGGATGAGCTGAATGACGAGCTGCTAAAGAAGATCACAAACAATAAAATTCAGCCTCCCCACAGGAATTTCAAAGTGGAAAAGCCTCAGCAAGTTTTTGTGCCCCTCACCTTTGAATCCAGCACTGAAGAAGTCAAAGCCTGGCTAGAGGCCAAGTCATTCAGCAAAGAGTAAGATTTGCTCTGTTGCCACATGAAACGCTCGTCCTTCCCTGGAGAAGGAGCTGGGGAGGCTGCTGGCACCATCTCACCTGGGACAAGTCACTGGGATTTACCTACAGAGCCTGTGGTGTAAATTAGATTTCAACCCTATTAAACCCAGGCTCTAGAACCAGGATGTTCAGAGCCCAAACTCACTCCTTTTCTTTCTTATAAACATTTTCTTGGAGAAAAACAATCCACAAATTAAACCCAGGGCTGAGATGCCATTGGAATCACAGCTGCCAGCCTGGCACAGCCCCAGGGCCCTGTGATACGACCCCAGTGCAGCTCCCAGCCTCCCATCTCCCACTCCTCACCTCTGGCACGAGGCCACTGCAGCACAACCATCATCCCCCACTTTGTGTCTCCCCAGGACCGTGGAACACCTGGGCATCCTCACCGGAGCTCAGCTCTTCTCCCTCAACAGAGAGGAGCTGAAGAAGGTGTGTGGTGATGAGGGGAACAGAGTGTACAGCAAGATCACGGTGGAGAAAAACCAGCTGGAGGTGAGTGTTTTTCTGGATAATTCCTGCTGGAGTAGGGGGCTGTACCAGCAGTGTCAGATAGCTCATTAAACAGGCATTTTAAGAAACACAACTGGGGGAAAAAAAATGCAACCAAACCTACACAAGCAATAAAAGACACGTAAAAATTCTGAAGTGCCTTTTAAGCTAAAAGGCCCCAAATCCACAAGATCCCCCTGTTTCCACTAATTAATCTGCTTTTTACTGATATCACCCATCCCTTTGAAACTAGCTCTACTCCCAGAGCATTCACTGAATACTGTAATTTAACTACAGCTTGAAGTTCAACTCCAAACTTCCTGTTTTGTTTCCATTCCAGAAAAGCAGAGGGGAGTCAGAGCTCCAAGAAATCATGAAGCGCCGCCAGGAAAGGATTGATTCTGCTAATTAAAGTCTCTCTGCTTTATTTCAGCTCTTAGCCCTAAGTAGTGCAGAAAAAAAGGGAAGGGAACAAAAGCAATGATTCCCGGCCCAGGCCGGAGGCAGCAGAGCTCCCCTTGGGCTCCAGCTGCCATCAGAGTGACAATTCCTCAAACACTGTTGGGAAGGGTTGACAATAAGACCATATCCCACTGGGAAAGGTGTTTTAATTTTGCATGAAGTATTTTTTTTATAACTATATATTTTATACTGAAATTTTCCGTGCATGCGATCGGAGCAGGATTCCCTCGGGGCTGGATGTACGACAAGGGCTGGATTCAAACAAAGACCCCCAGAGCTTTTCTCCAAGGGCTGTCCCTGCTCCCAGCCCTTGCTGGCACAGCAGGCCAAGCACACAGCTCAGGAGGGGCCAGCTCAGGGCCTGGAGCCTGCACCACGGGAATGAGGCTGCAGGAACAGCCCTGCAGTGCTTTGGGTTGAAGGAAAGGACATTAAAGCTCATCCTGTCCCACCGCCATCATAGGCAGGGACGCCTTTCCCAAGCCCAAGTTGTTCAAATCCTGTCCAGCCTGGCCTTGGACACTTGCAGGGATGGGGAGTAAGGACCCCTCTGGGCAGCCTAAGGCAGCCCCATTTCCATTTCCTCCTCAGTGCAGGTGTCCCCTGCAGCCCATGAGCACAGCCCGGTGACAACTCCCTGTCCCCCTCCTGTCCCCCTGTGCCCCCTCACTGGACAAGGCTGGAATGGCAACACACATTCCCAAAGTCTGGCTGCTTCCTTAAATCCACAGACCAGTTGGTGCTGTCTCTGAGATGAGCTCTCAGTGCCTAGAAAGGAGCAGGAGTGACAAACAAAGGGATCTGAACGTGGACATGGGTGAGCTCCACCTGCCCACTGCTGCTGATGCACAGGCCTGGGCTCAGGGCAGCTGCCTGGGCCGCTGATCCTGCCCTGGAATGTTGTGGGGCTGCCAAACTCGGCCTCAAACCAGGAGAAGATAAGCCCTGACCATTTGTTCCCGTCCCAGGCACGCCCACAGCCCTTGCCAGGGTGTTGGTCACTCGTCCCCACCTTCACGTTTTCACTGTAGAAAGTCAGCTGAAATGATTCCCAAATAGCTGAAACCCCAAAGCACACTGGGAAGGGCAGGTTTAACTCCAAATAAATGGGCACAAGGAAAAAAATCTAATTTAGCACAGGATGTTGCTCTTGACTTCCTGTTTTCCTTCATAAGGTTATGTGCATTTATATATAACAATCTGTAAAGAGGGAGTGAGGAAAATCTCTTCCCTAGAGGCAGAATTAGTGATTATGCTTCCAAAATTTACTCAGAATTTCAAAACTCAAGCAAGCAGCGTAGTTCCTGTCCACAGCAAGTTTGGCACATTGCATTTCTATCTCTGTTTAGCTGACAGACCAACCTGATTGCAAAGCAGTGAAGCAAACACAGCTCCAGAGCTGCCCACAGCCCAGGGACAGTTGGCTTTTCTCTCTCAGCACTGCTCAGTCTTTGCCCAAATTTGTCTGTCCTTGCACATCTAATGGAAAAAGCTTTAACACAGCATTGGGGAACTCGTGTCTCAATCTGAGAGCACCAATGCACCTCAGTTTTGGCTTTATTCCTGATTGTCTCCAATGGATAATCTGTTTTCTTCATCTGAAAGAGGACGCTGCTGGCACCAGCAGAATTAGGGTGCAGGCAGGGGGGGGGATCCTGGGTTTAGTCACAGCCCTGCTGGGATCTGAGAAGGGCACTCACCTTGTCAGGGAGGGATGAAGAGGACAATCCTCCTGAGAAGCCCTGGCTCTGGAAGAGGGTGAAGGGAAGCAGGATGGCAAGCACAGGAGGTGAAAGAGTTTCTAAAATGAAAATAAAACCAAATGTTGAGCTAGGAAACACCCCACCTTCTAGTGCTGGGGTGTAGAGGAAAGCAAATCACAGGGAATTACAGTTATCTGGGATTTTAACAGGAGTGTACAGGACAGCTCTGTAAAGCTGGGAGCCACAGGAGCATTTCCAAAAACAAATATCTCAGCAGACCTTACTGCAGAGGTCACTTTTACAAATTTCCATGCAACTGAGCTGTGCATCTGTTCTGTTTGTACTGCCTGCAGACACTGCTATAAAGTACTGTACATTGATGTAACTGAGCGAAGGAGACAATGATATAACCATGCACTGTACAAGAGTTATTAAAATAGTTAAGTTATACTTATAAATCCATGTCTGTCTCTTTCACTGGGTTTTATAAATAAATCCGTGTCTGTCTCTTTCACTGGGTTCTCATAATGGTTTGTCACTGACAGTCTGAGAAACTCAGCAAAAGGTCTGAAACCACACATTTCCTTTTGGGTTTGGGGACTGACATTCAATAGGAAGGGTGTTATGGCCTGGATAGCTGTGTTTCAAATACAGGGGCAAACTATGACAAGGCTGTACAAAAGCAGCAGTTGGACCTGATGGTCCACTGGAACACCTGAACAGGTCGTGGCAGAGGCACAGCATTGCCACCAGGTCCTGCAGCACAGCTGTTTGTACTTCAGGGCTTCTATCTTTTGGTACAGTTCCACTGGAATTTAACATAATTTGGCAAGAATTAACATTAACCCAAGAGTTCGAGGGCATCACCTGTGTGTGATCTCAGTGGGTATAACTGGGGTTTGGGGGAGAAAAACTGCTTTAGAGGTGTGATCAAACCTCTGTACAACCCTGTCAGGATTAAGGGCAGCAGACCAGGTATATTGCTAAAAATTACAGAAATTATTTACTTTAATTAATAACAAGGACTAAAAGACCTTAATTAATCACTCCTGAGCATAGGGGCTGTAAGTGCTGGCACAGGGCACCCTGTGTGAAGGAATATTGCAGCAATGACATTCGACAACACCAATTACCAGGACAAACTGTCACTGACCCAGAACAACAGCCCAGAGCAGGGGCCTCGGGGGGTGTCTGCCTCAGAGGGGCTCTACAGACTTGTGGTGACACAGAGCCTTCGACCGACACCACCACGTCCAGAAGAGGCTCTTTGTGTTATTTTCTCGACCATCTTCTCGTTTCATGTCTTCCCCGGGCCGAGGCCATGAACGATCTCCCCGAGGGCCTGACGCAGCAGCCGCTCTCGCCGCTCACCGGGGTCGGGCCAGGGTTCGGGTTCGGCGGGGGGCCCTCAGAGCCGGGCCCGCGCCGCGCCCGCTCAGGGGGCTTCTCGCCTCAGCGACCGGCACAGAGGTTGCCCCACCACTGCCTGCCGCCGCCTCCTGCTCGCCCGCCGCGCCGCTGACCAACAGCCCCGTCCCCACCGGGACGTCTTTCTGGGCACGGGGTCCATTCTTGGCGCCATTTTCTCCCTACTCAAAGCGCGTGCGCGAAACATCGCCATATTGGAAAGGGCAACATCCACCTAAGCCGCCATCTTAGGTGTGGTGAGTTCCGCCCGAAATCCGCCATCTTGTGTTCTGGCAGAAGTCACTTCCGGTGATGTCCGCCATCTTAGGTGTGGTATCACGTGAGTTCTGCCCAGACCCGCCATCTTGTGTACTGGAAGAAGTAACTTCCGGTGATGTCCGCCATCTTAGGTGTGGTATCGTGTGAGTTCTGCCCAGACCCGCCATCTTTTGTGCTGGCAGCAGCCGGGTCCGAGCGGTTCCGCCACCTCCGGCCCGAGCCGCCCTCTTGGGCGTTGCCGAATTTGATTTGCGGCCACCTCCGCCCCTTTGGGAGCGACGTTTGTCGCTGTCCGTCAACACAGAGAAGTTCTCACAAACACACACACGTGCACTCACATCACAGCCCCAGACAGCTCGACCGAGCCCCGTCCGGCACTGCCCGCTGTCCCCAGTCCTGGGTCTCTCATGAGTTTCTTGCCCATGTTACGCAGAAATAACCTCCCATCAACCCCAACAACCTCTTCTGTGCATACAAAAGCTTCATTAGTCACAAGCATCACAAAGGCCTCCAGAGTCTGTGAGTCAAGGGCAGTTGTGAGAAAAATTCTTCTTTCTGCTCATTCAGTTTTCTTTATGACAAATATCTCTGTTATTGATCACATTTCCAACAACAGCAGGCAGCTAACCTATGTTCCTGGCAGGATATTCCTGTCCAAGTCCATGACAACTTCTTTTTGCAGCTGCCTCATACGTCAGCGTTTGCAGATCCTGAATGCAGAGGGGAACAGGACATCTGTAGCCTTGAGACCCTGCAGATGATGGATTTTAAGATCTCAACTCTCAGAGGGGCGATCAGGCAGTCCCGGCTCGTTGCAGTTCCCCGCAGGAACACGAGGGAGTGCTGCAGGACAGGCTGTGTGGCCTCTTCCGGCACTCACCCTCTGCCCCCGTTGTTTCTCCTGAGTTCTTCCCTCAGCCCTGTCAACGAGCGCAGGAAAAATCTTGTCTCACTCCCCGGTCGTGCTCAGGCACTGGAAGCAGTGATGACACATTCATAAAATCCTGGAATGTTCCGGGTGGGAAGGGACCTTGAAGCCCATTCCATTCCACCCTCTGCCATAAACAGCGACACCTTCCACTACCCCCGGTTGCTCCAAGCCCCGTCCAACCTGGCCTTGGACGCTTCCAGTCACTCCAGGCTCCTGTGTATTACTGCAGCCTATCAGACTAATAAGTTGTTTCTTGGAATGCTGTTGGAGAGAAGGTATTTGATGAGGCTGAGGATCACATTAACACATACACTTCTGGGAGCGGCAAACTGTGTATTTTTCACCCAAAAAGTGAGGGGTTTTTGGGACACCAAAGCAGAACTCATCTCCAGTTGCATGAAGTGAGTGCTTCAGAAAAAATGATGGGATGAATTTAAGACAGAGAAATGACGTGGATGTTAAAAACGCCAATCACTTGTTTTTAAAATTCTTAAAAGTTTAATAGTAATAAAATGGTTATAAAAATAGTAATACAATTAGAGTAATAATAATTTGGACAAATTGAATTAGGACAATATGAGACAATAAATACAAAGAGTTACGGACATTCAGGTGCCTTTTTCTGGGCAG